CTTTCCTGGTAAATAAATTATCAATATTATGAAACTGAATGCTAGACTGATTAGTTATTCCATCCTGTCCATCATGTATCTAATAATGCCTACTCTATGTACCTTGCTCAAAAAACATTTTCTGTGCCCTTAAAGGTGAGAATATAATAATAAATTGGAGGGTTTTCTGAACTAAGCTGTCTTTGAAATTAGCTGTTTCATCCACTTGAATATACCAAAGCAAATTTATGATGATTAATTGTATTACAATGAACACCAAAGCACGTAATAATGATTTGCTACTTATTATAAAGCTTTGCCAATATTTTGTAAACCCAAGCGACATGATATGCAAGAAATCCAATGAAACCTTCTTAAACAAACAAAGGAGAAAGGGAAGAAAGGACAGGTCTTGCAACACTAAACATTTCTGAGGACAAACAGAGGCCACAGGAACTTTTTTTCCCATGTCTAAACTTTGTTAGGTTATCTTCCTTTAAACTTAAGTAAAGGGGAAGAGGAGAGCTGACAAGAATTGATATATACTTTCACTCAATATTAAAACTCTTGTTCAAACAGAATCTTAGCAAGTTTGCACATGTCCTGGTTCAGGGTAAATTTGGGAAGAAACCCCTGAATGGAGTCCCTCCAAAATGCAGAATCAAGTGGCCCATCCACCAACTGGTTCAGGAAATTACTAACTTGCAGAAAAGTGGAAAAACTGTTTATTTAACAAGAAAAGTATTCACAAGCATAAAAAATAGAATAATATTACACAATAAAACCTCACGCCGTTGGAAGAGATGGCAAATCCAGAAAAAGTCCTTTTCATGGGGTGTAGCTCGGCTCGCTCTGGTTCTTATCAGTCCCTCCAGCCCCGGAAAGTGCCGATGCCCAGGCCCTAGTGGGCCACAGGTGTGAGCTCCCAGGGTTTGGCTGGGTGTTCAGTCCAGAGCAGGTTTGAACAGATCCAGGAAAAAATAGAAATCAGTCTGGAGAACTTCGCTGCTTCAGCTAGCTAAAGCTAACTAAAAGCAAAGGAGAGCTCTGTCCTGCTGTCTGTCCGTGCTGCAGACTACACCATCCAGAGAAGGAATCTGAGGCAACAAGTGCCGTTTCTGAAAACAAACTGAGAGCTTATTCTCCCTTTGCTCTCAGAACAAGTGTAAAAGGTGCAGAACTTAATATCCAGGATAAGCAGAACAGACAGCTGGAGATTCAAGCATCATAAAGTCACCCTAGGACAGCATACTGCTCCATTTTTTATTTTTCCATATGTTGTTAGTTGACACCGCCCGCTCTCCGGCCCCTGGTGTTCCGGCTAGCTCTTGGCCGATGGCAGTGCCAGGAGTGGGGAACCACGTGGGGACTGTGTCTCCCAGCGTGGAACCTCCAGAGCTCTACGTACTCCGGGCTCTGTAGATCTCAGGGTGTCAGCGGTCGTGGCGAAAGGATCTGAGAGGACTCAGTTTCTTCTGCTTCCCAGGAACAAGTTTATTTGTAGGAGCAGGGAGCTGGACAGGGGTGAGGGCTGGGACCACGGGAAGAAGTCTGAGCCAAGACTCCCCGAGCACCTCTGTGCATCGGGTTATAAGGACATTGGGCGGTCAGAACATCAACCAATGGGAAGATCGTGAGGGAGTAGCTGGGGGAGTGGGATACAATATTAAGGACCAATGGTAGGGACACAGGGGAGGGGCGGCAGCTGTACAAGCAACGGGGCATCGAGGAAAGGGTGATGAGCAGGGAAGGGACTAGAACAAAAGGCAGGGTTTACATTGACTGCTAGGGCTCGGGGGCAGGATAAAAGTGATGGATGGGGAACACTCTGGAACAAGGGGAAGGGCTTGCAATGATTGAGAACCAGGGACAAACCATTCAGGGATAGCAAGGGAGCAACTGGGGCAAACCAACTTAAACTTAACAACATCAAACAAACATCAAACAGGCGGCAACATCTCCCCCTTTCTTTTTCAAGAAGAGGGAGACGCAGGGTCTGGGGGAGCAGAGGGTACAGTGAACCATTCCGCGGAGGGAGAGGGTGGAGGAGGATGGGACGTAACATAATTGACTTGAGGTGGGGGGGATACAAGATGTAAAACGGACTGAACTAAACATCTTTTTAACACTGCGAAAGCAGCTAAAACTATAAAAATGACAAAACCAACCCATAACACAGTTTGAATAATGGAGGAGAGCCATCCGGACACACCCCATCCTGAGAACAAGTTGGTGACCCAGTCGCTGGTTTCCTGATGAATCTGGTGGATCATGCCCTTCATCTCAGAGATGGTCTTCCGAATGTCGGGGCTCCTGCTGGTAAGGTTCAAGCAGCAGAGCCCCTCGAAGTCTCTGCAGTCATGGTTATGGAGGAGCAGTAGGAAATCGATGGCTGCTCGGTTTTGCAGAGTGGCCCGCCTGGTTATTTCCTCGTCTTCGAGGAGGTCGCTTAGCGCAGTTGACGTCAAATTGGCCTCTTTAACTACCCAACACTCGAACTGAACTAATTCACCCAGGGCTTGAGCAGCGGCCAACCATGGTAAATACACGGACACTGCTACCCGTTTTGGCTTGCTCCAATGAAAAATTTCGGAATCACAGTCTGGGTCTAGGTCTTCCAGACTGCGCTTCTTGATAACCGAATTATTTTTTTGGCATCCAATTTTCAATTTGGGTCGCGTTGGGGGAAAACAGGGACAACCGGCCTAAGGTACACGGCCCTCTGAGAAGGCGAGAGGGGATGCCAGCCCATGCCCAGTCTCCACAGATCAGGAACATTCCTTTTGGCAGCTTAAGAGGGCAAGAATCTAGTGTGGAAGGCATTCTCACGTGTGCGATATTTTTGCACCACGCTGCTGCCTGGAATTTTTTGTTATCTTGGACCATTTTTGGATATAGGGAAGGATTATCTGGGTAGTAACGGAACTGAATGCAAAAGGGTGCCGGGGAAGAATTTAATAAATCAAATTCTTGAGGCACAGCGACAGCCCGCTCCAGGTGAGCCTGCCAGTCCCTCCAAAGGAGGAGGGGATTTTGGACGGGTTTCTTTACCTTATAAGATGGAATGGAGCGGACCACTCGCTGAGCTGGCCTACCTTTGTTGGCCTCTTTCACTAATTCCATCAAGGATTCTGGGTATTCCTCTGGCTTTAATGGGATCCCCACCAGGCAGGTGGTCATCAGATTTCCCGCTGCTCCGGTGGACAAACGTAACTCATCCCTCTGCAGAGACTTCGCCAACATTACCCAAACATTCTGTTTGGGTTGGGGCACGATCCATGCGGCTATCTGGGCCACCAGTAGAACCAGGAGTGCGATGTTCAGGGTGAGACTCGCTGCTGTCATTTTCGGATGGCTCTCTGAAACGAAAAACGGACACTTTTACTCAACATAATAGGGGAGCAGTTCATCAAAAGGAAAAGGGAATTCAAGATCTTCCTCCTCCTCATCGCTTTCAGGGGTCACAGAGGTGGCTTGCACGGACACGACGCTATTTTCTTGTTCGTCTGGTGGCCTGGTAGGATGTTTTGGGACATAAGACTTCACCCACTTTTGTGGGATCCACCTTAATCCCTGGGGCGAGGAAACGCAAGCATAGCCTCGCCCCCAGGTCACCAGATCGAATGGACCCAGGACCTTTTGGGTCTCTGGGTCTCGGACCAGCACTGGAGGGCAATGTTGTAGCTTACAGTTGCTGGTGGACTGGAAGTGCCGGACCACTGGAGGGTTGGGATCCTGGTCACTGCAATTCAAAAAGTTGATGGTAAACAATGCTTTATATAGTCTCTCCTGAGGCGTGCAACCTCTCATCGTCCCTTTCTGATGGGCTAAGACACATTTGAGTGATTGGTGGGCTTGCTCAACAACCGCTTGGCTGGTGGGGGAGTGTGGGATGCCTCTTTTGTGTTCTACTCCCCACTCTTGCAGGAATTCCTCCAGTTTCCTGGAGGTATACTCTGTTTTGAGTTCCTTGGGGACCCCCAGCACGGAGAAAGCTTGCTTGAGATGTTTGCAGACATGCTCAGCTTTCTCCCCTGTGTGGGCAGAAGCAAAGACCGCGCCTGAGAAAGTATCGATGGAGACATGTACAAACCGAAGCCTACCAAACTCGGGGATGTGCATCACATCCATTTGCCACACTTCACAGCTCCCCAGGCTTCGAGGGTTGACTCCCGATCCCAGGGAGGGCATGGCGGTGGTCTGGCAGTGCGGGCATGTGGCCACAATGGCTCTGGCCTGATCCCGCCGCAGGTGGAATTGGCGGATCAGACCAGGCACATTTTGATGGAACATTTGGTGGCTCAGCTTGGCTTGTTGGAACAGATCAGGGAGTCGAGCCATTGAAACAGGGGTGGCGAGGGAATCGGCTATCCGATTCCCTTCGGCCACCGGGCCAGGGAGGTCCGTGTGTGACCTCACATGCATTACAAAAAAGGGTTGCTTTCTGTGGGAAACAGTGTAAATTAATGCAGAAAGCAACTCAAACAGCTTCGGGTTTGAGACCTCCTTCAGGGCTGCATGCTCAGCCCTTGCGACCACCCCTGCTACATAAGCCGAATCTGTTATTAGATTGAAAGGTTCAGAAAACCTCTCAAAGGCCCTGACGACTGCATCCAACTCAGCAACTTGTGGAGATCCCTCCACATACTTAACATCTGTTTCCCATTGCTGAGTCTCAGGATCTCGCCAAGTCACTACAGACTTGTGAGATGCCCCGGATGAATCAGTGAACACAGTCAAGGCTTTGAGGGGCTTCCTGCTCCGCACTGCTTTTGGAATTGCATTGAATTTGGAATTGAAAAATTTATGGGCAGGGGCATGGACGGAAACTTGTCCTTCATAACTGTCAAATGCAATTTGGAGGATCTCATTTTCCCGAAGCAATTGATCGAACATTTCTTTGGTCAGCTTATCTGGGGACGCTTTATCCTGAGACAAGCTGACTGGTAGCCGAATGCATGCAAAATCACACCCAGCCATCTCCCTAAGCCTAGCCCGAGCTCTCCCGATGAGCTGAGCCATCAGTTCCTGTGGCCGGGTGACACTTTGGACCTTTGATGGCTCAAGAACACCCACTCTATTATCAAGAGGGGATCCTTAGAGCCTTGGTCCCATTGGAAAATCATCCCATGTAGATGTGGCATCTTTCCTAACACTATAAACTTGAATGGTAGGGTCAGTTCATACCGATGCGCCTGTCTCTCAGCCAGGGCATCCTCTACCTTCTCCAGGGCTTTCTTCGCTTCTGAGGTCAGGGTCCTGGAAGAACTAAGCTCCTTCTCCCCCTTCAAAAGCATGAAGAGGGGAGCTAGGTCCTCAGTAGTGAGGCCCAGCCAAGGCCTGACCCAGTTCAAGATCCCGCACAGCGAATGGAGGTCCGCCAAAGTCTTCGGATTGCTGTTAATGGCCAATTTTTGCGGCACAATGGTCCGCTCAGCAATCCACAGACCCAGATACTTCCAGGGCGGCATCCTCTGAACCTTGTCCTCCTGGAGCTGAAAACCTGCAGATGTTAAAATGTTAACCACTCGGTCAAGAGATTGCATAAGTAGATTGTCATGGGGGGCGCATATTAGGACATCATCCATGTAATGATGGATGATGACCTCCCCCATTTCGGCGCGCAAAGGGGACAGCAATGAGGCGACATACCACTGGCAGATAGTGGGCGAGTTCTTCATGCCCTGGGGCAATACCCGCCAGTGGAATCTCCTCATTGGGGCTTCTCGGTTAAGGGTTGGAACCGAAAAGGCAAACCGCGGGGCATCTTCAGGATGTAGGGGAATCTGGAAAAAGCAATCTTTAATATCAATGATGGCCAAATTCCAATTTCGGGGGAGCATAGTTGGGGTAGGCATCCCTGGTTGGAGGGGCCCCATGTCAACAATGACTTTATTAATAGCCCGAAGGTCATGGAGGAGCCACCGCTTGTCCTTCCCCGGCTTCCGGATGACAAAGACCGGGGAATTCCAAGGGCTTGTGGTCTCAACTATATTTCCCTTTGCTAGTTGCTCCTCCACGAGTTCGTTGAATGCCTTTAATTTGTCTTTTCGAAGCGGCCACTGATCAATCCAAATAGCTTCATCAGTGGTCCAATCTAACTTTTGGAAAGGGCGCTCTACAGTGGCCGCTATCAAAAATCCCGAGGGGTTTTCAGGATCTCTATTTTTACCCCCCATTGTGACATTAGGTCCCTCCCCCACAAGGGAACCTGGAAATCCACAACGAATGGGCGTAAATTTGCCAATTGCCCATCCGGCCCCATAATTTGCACTACGCTCTTTGAGATTTGTGCCAATTGGGTACCCCCTATACCCTGTATTTTGCCAGCCACGGGTTGCAACTCCCAATGTGACGGCCATCTCCTTTCGGGGATGATCGTCACATCTGCCCCCGTGTCAAGCAGACCCTTCATGTTGATTAACTCTGCACCTTGCTTGACAGTGCAATCAACTATAGGTTTGTTTTCTCCCACCACCTCTGCCCAGTAGATGCCTGGTGCATGGTCGTCTACTGGGATTCCTTCAGGGACAGGGATGTACTGGGTGATGATGTGGCCTTTGGGAAGGAAGTATGGTGGGTGATTGCAACGCGCCAAAAGAATGAGATCCTCCGGACCACCCAGGAAGGTGATCGGGGAGATCTCAATCTCTGGAGGTGTATGCTTTGTGTCCCCGATGGCAATGTACTTACACACGTGTCTGTCGTCCATCCAGTTTCCCTCCAGTGGGTCCACAGCAACCACTGTCCAGTGCTGGGACCGAAAGAGGATGTCTCTCACGGTTATCAAATGTCATGTCCGGTGAATTGTCCAAGCCTGGGAATGTGAGCCCCCCTCCCCCGCGAGACCTGCCCCATTTGTAGCATCGCGCGGGGCAGGTTTGCGCCACTCCCCTAGTTTTTTTTTATTGAACTTTCTTTTGCCCTCTCCCCCAAGTTGCTCCCTTGGTTAGGGTGTGCTGCTGGGCAATCCCTAGCCATGTGCCCTGGTCGTCTGCAGCGATAACAATGCAGTGGTGGACGCGCTGGTGTTGCTGGCATTGGCTGCATCACAGCTGCGGTTGGTATCTTCCTCGACGTCGGCAGTGGCATGGCCCTGGACATCCCTGCCATCGGAGCTTTCTTGGTGCACGCTTCGATCAGGGTGTCCAGTGTCGGGGTAGGATAGAGCGGCAGGCTGAAGATGATTTGACGGCAGAGCTCGTTGGCATTGACCTTCACCGCTTCTAACACCAGTTGCTCCTGGAGCTCCGCCTTTTCAACCTGCCTTTCTACCTGCTTCTGTAATCTATCAACAAATTTATTGAAGGGCTCATCTGGGAGCTGGTAAATATTCATTAAATTAAGTTGGGGCCCCTCCTCAGGCAAGGTATAAAATACCTTCTCAGCGGTCTCCATGATTTTTTTTTATCACAGGCCGGGGCAACACCCTGGCCTGTTCTTCCGGTTTATCCCAATCCCCTTCACCGCACAAGTGTTCCAAGGTTAGAGGGACTCCATCTGTGTCATCCGCAGTTTCATTACTGCGCAAAAGCTCTGGAAGGATGGTTTCCAATGATCTCTTCCATCCCTGTTTCCACAGCCTGAAATCGGCTGAGGAAAGGAGACAGGAAAACAACTCCCTCAGATCATGGGGAACCATTTTGTTTGCTGAGAAGGTAGCCTTTAATAACCCCTTAAAATAGCCTTTAATAACCCCTTAAAATACTCGCTACCCCTCCCAAACTCCTTCTGTGCCTTCCACAGCTCCCTCTTTGTTTGGAATGAGAAGGCTTCCCATTCTCGGGATTGCCCTCCCCTCCCACGAAAAGTCACTGGTGCGCCAAGGGGGATATTTACCAGTTCCGGGTTCTGGTTCTCAGGCCCAGCTCCCCCGATTCCCAAAGCATGGGAACCGGATGTTGAAGCGTGGGAGCCGGAAGGGGGAGCGTGGGAACCAGGAGCCGGAAGGGGCGCGACTGGAGGACCAACTGAGTAGGAGGGTGAAGGGGTGGAGCGGTAACCGGAAAGGGAGTGGCTTGGGGGAGTGGTGTTGTCAGGACCCACCCCTGAGGAGGAGGAACTTCTCGAGGGGTAGTGGGAGGAACCATGGTAGGGGGAAGGGGAGGAGTTAGGGAGGAAGGGGTTGAACTTGGAAGGACGGAAGGGATTATGGGAAGAAGGAGCACAAGGGAAGGTCCCAGCCATGTGGTCCCCGCCATCTTGTGCCCTTCGGGAGCCATTTTGTGGATCACAGGTAGGATAAGGGAATATAGGGGAGTAATGGGAATAAGGGGAAACTGAGGTACAGGGATCTGGGGGTAAAAACTGGGGATTTGCAACGTCACACAACAGGGGATTTTGAACCTGGGGAGTATTTAACTGGGAGTTTACAACCGGGGAAAGCAGGGGAGTGGGTGAGTGCTCTGACAGCTTGGCCAGGGCTGCCAGGGCAAGGGTTCTGCAGGAGACGTGGGGAGCCAGGGATCCTAGTACCCTTAGGGGAGCCCTGCGCAGGGCAGCTTGCTCTGCAGGTCGCTCTGCAGGTCTCCCGCAACTGAGGATCAGGGGGAGAGGAACACGGGGAAGGAGAAACTGGGGAAACTGGGGACGATTGGGATGGCTGCTCTTGCACTTTCTTTTCTGCTATTAATGCGGTCCGAATTAAAATAAAAAGTGTAACTAATTTAGAGGCCGATTTGTTCCCCTCATTCACTAGCTTGGTTAATTTAATTCCAACAGAATTCCAAAACTCCACTGAATTCACCTGGTCGGGGGTTACATGTGGGAAGTGCAAGAACAACCATCTCACTAATCACTTAACCCTCCCTTTTGAGAACATTTTGTTCCCCCCCTCAAGGATGCCCGCAACTTGGAAATAAACTCTCATTTGCTCAGCCAACATATGCGCCCCCATTCTGCCCCCGGCTAAACAATCCTACCACCCCCTAGCAGCAAACGCGAACTTAAAGAACTAAAAATAAGGGTCAGGACTGGGCTACAACACACTCTCCCTCCCCGAGGGAGTCACAACACCACACAGGGGGTCCACCACACACTCCCCCTTTTCCTCCACTGGGGAATACTCACCCAGTCCTGACAAGAGCTGCAGGAGATGTCCACGACCACCAAGGCGATTTTCGGTGCGTCGAAGACTGCCGCCTTGATCCCCAGGAGCGCCACCCGACAAAAGTGGGTCTGCTCTGCACTGGGGTAGCTGCCACCCACAGTCTTTTGTAAATCCACAAGAAAGGTTTGCACGACCACTCCGGGGGGTCTCCTCACGGCGGAGAGGCCCCACGTTGGGCACCAGCTGACACCGCCCGCTCTCTGGCCCCTGGTGTTCCGGCTAACTCTTGGCCGATGGCAGTGCCATGAGTGGGGAACCACGTGGGGACTGTGTCTCCCAGCGTGGAACCTCCAGAGCTCTATGTACACCGGGCTCTGTAGATCTCAGGGTGTCAGCGGTCGTGGCGAAAGGATCTGAGAGGACTCAGTTTCTTCTACTTCCCAGGAACAAGTTTATTTGTAGGAGCAGGGAGCTGGACAGGGGTGAGGGCTGGGACCACGGGAAGAAGTCTGAGCCGAGACTCCCCGAGCACCTCTGTACATCGGGTGATAAGGACAATGGGCGGTCAGAACATCAACCAATGGGAAGATCGTGAGGGAGTAGCTGGGGGAGTGGGATACAATATTAAGGACCAATGGTAGGGACGCAGGGGAGGGGCGGCAGCTGTACAAGCAACGGGGCATCGAGGAAAGGGGGATGAGCAGGGAAGGGACTAGAACAAAAGAAGGGGTTTACATTGACTGATAGGACTCGGGGGCAGGATAAAAGTGATGGGGAACACTCTGGAACAAGGGGAAGGGCTTGCAATGATTGAGAACCAGGGACAAACCATTCAGGGATAGCAAGGGAGCAACTGGGGCAAACCAACTTAAACTTAACAACATCAAACAAACATCAAACAAACAGGTGGCAACAGTTAGTTTTAGTTATGCCATCATTAGGGCTATTCTTTTTACTTTTTTCTATGTTTGGACTTCTTTTTAAGAAGCCAAAGAATTGTCTACATCAACATCTTCAGTAAGATTGAGTGAAAAACCCTTGTATTCAACTCAATAACTACTACATGAATGGAGAAAAAAATCACCCAAATGTATGCTGTCCTCAACTGAATAGTTACCTAGCTGGATTTACTACTGAAAATTCTTTTATTTCTGATTTGGCAGCCATGACACTTTTGTAGTGCAGTGAAACTCCTTTCCTGTCCTTATTGAATTGTTCTAGTTTTGCCTGGGGTAGAGTTAATTTTCTTCCCAGTGGCTGGTAAGGGGCTGTGTTTTTGATTTGTGCTGAACAAAGCATGGATAACACAGAGATGTTTCTGTTATTGCTGAGCAGGATTACACAGACAAGGCCTTTTCTGCTTTTTGTAGTGTCAGGTTAGGGAGGAGGCTGTGGGTGTTTGGGAGGCTGGGAGGAGACACAGCCAGGACAAGAGACCCCAAATGATCAAAGGAATGTTCCAGACCATGTGACATCATGCTCAGTACATAAAGTGAGGGGAGGAGGAAGGAACAGTTGAAGTGGTGAAGTTTTTCTTCCAAGTAACCATTATTTGTGATGGTGCCCTGCTCTCCAGTCATGACTGAACAGCTGCCTGCCCATGGGAAGAGAAATAATTTCTTGTGGGTGTGCTTTTTCCTTTCCCTAATAAACTATTTCTGTCTTTAGCCATGAGTTTTCCAGCTTTTACCCTTCCCATTCTTTCCTGTGGTGGGGGAGTGAGCAAATGGCTTTGTGGGTCTTGATGGCAGGATACGGTGGAATAATGACATAAATAAATATGTAAAAGAAAGAAGTTTTGACAGATTTTAAGCCCAGCTTTAAAAGAATTGCAGTTTGGAGGGCAACTTGCTAGTGATCTGCTTTTCTGGCCAAGAACCCATACCACTACAAAACTTACATAAAGTATGTCATTAGAAAGGATACATTGAAATTCTTTAGGTAAATTTCAAGGAATTGGGGGAGGGAGGGAGAATGAATTGTAGGTTCATTACCTTCCCTGGAATATTTTTTCTACAAACTATAAAAATTTCCCATAATTTTTAAGAGTGTCCAGTCATTCTAAACACTCACCTGAGGAGTTCTCAAGCCTATTGGTCTCTGATGCATGCCTTTGTATTATAATATTGGCTTCAGAAATGTCACACTGGTCTTTAGTCTGACATTTGTCAGGTTATTTTCTCATTCAGGATATTTCCATTCAGAAATAAAGAAATAAATGAGTATGTTTTATTTTAAGCTGTATACCTCCTCTAGTTTAAATAAAGATGTAAAATGGCTGAAATGAAACAGCCAATATCTGTATTTTTTTGA